TTGCCGAATTTCCTGTTGCTGTACCCCGGGGGCTGCAGTGGGCCCTGCAATGTTTGGCCAGAAACAGAAAAACTGTTTTCTTCAAGCTTTATTAATTTTCAAGCCATTTCCTGTTTTCCCTTTGCAGCCAAACCCACCCCTTTTGGCAGGTACTGAGAGACAGAAACACCCGATCCAGTCTGAGGAAATATTCTATTACTTGAAAGAGGAGGAGACCCTGAACGACACCTACAATTTTTCATTATCTGCTTTCAACAAGGCAACTTTGCTTTGCTGTGAGAGAATCTTTGAGCAAATCATGCTGTATAGAATTGCCCATCTTAATTTTTGAATCCTTTACATAATAGATTTAGTCTTAGAAAACCTTGTATAATTCACAAGCAGACAGCATCCACAAAACAAATTCGGAAGTGGAAACAGAAAGCAAATTCTATTCATAGGTTGCATTTTTCATAACTCATGTTTAGGCAGCTTCTTTTAACGTGTAACCCAAACCAGTAGAAACCTTCTGTCCAGTTTGTGACAGGAGCCTTGGTTTGCAGAAGGGACAAGCAAGGACAGGCTCAGACAATTTACAAGATCTCTGTGTGCTTGGCACCTGTGAATGTCAGTCCTAGAAGACACTGGTGTCCTCAAAGTGTTTCTAAAAAACATCAAAAGTGAAAAGAAATCAAGTAATACAGCCCTCAAAGGTTTAGACCTTGATATATGTAATTTCTTGTGGTTTAGAGATAGCTGTAGTGAAAGGGGGAATCATTCCTAAGGTATTTCAGGAAAATGGTAATAATTTTGTTGCCATCTGAGACTAAGTACAGTTAACAGATTCACGCTACACCGGGAGCCCTGTAACAACAGTCCCGTCTCCTCTGCAGCCCATTGACCCCAGCAGCTGAATCAGCATTGTCCCCAGAGTTCACTGTCACTTTGCCCTACGCAGTATTCTTTACCTTCTGGATCATAGTAATGTTCACTTGCAGGGGAAGGAAATCTGGAGCTGTTTTTGCAGTGTAAATGAGTTAAATGTACAAATAGACACTACTTTGTTCAGCAGAGAAATGCAATCAATTCCAGGACAAACTGCCAAACAAATTGCCAATGATAAGGCCAACCCAGTACCAGAGAAGGGATGATCATAGAGCACTACACTTTCAGAGGAGTGCAGTCGGGCAGACTGATCAGCTCTAATACTGCAACCAACCATAAATTCTCACACACAGCCACAGAAATCAAGCTGCCTACGGTCCCCCCCTGCATGGTATCCCCCTCAGCAGCAGAGTTATATGGAATCAGTGGCAGGGCTGCCCTTGCTGGTTGTGGAGCTGCTGTTTAAAGGCCTGGTTCAAAGCCCATTTATGAAAATGGAGAATCTTCCACCAACTTCAATGCTCCTGGGTCCATATTGCAACACTGACTGACTCAGGGGAAAGGATATCATCCCACACGACTTTGGCCACTGAGGCATAACACTTTGCAGGGTATAGTCACTCTTCTTCTACTCCCCCAGCTCTGCTTCATTATTTGCTTTTCCTGAACTAGAGACAGGCTAAGCCTCTCACAAGGCTGTGCAAATGACTGATACGGTCAGACGGAAAGGACAGATTATGAAATGAAAACACACGGGTTGCTTGTGCTCCAGACCCTTTCCACCTCCTCCCTTAAACCACTGTGATTAAAACCACACAGAGCTGCTGGGCAAAAAAAAAAAGAAAAAAACAAAGAAAAGGAGGATGACCCATGCACTCATATCCTGGCAATTTGTGGGAATTGTCTTAACACGCCCAGAACAAAAAAGACCAAATGACAACATCTCTGCATAGACCTAAACCTCATTTCATTACAGCATCTGAGCACATGCACAAGTTCACTACCAGTCACCAAAGACACACACTTCCATATAGGTATCTGCTTACCTTCTATTATGAAAGACATAGATGACACAATTAAGTGCCGCTTAAACATAGATGGATTGTTAAATCAAAACCTTAGAATATCTTCTATATTTTCACAAAACCTACTGGCTTAGCAGAATTATAATACAGTGAATTATAGTTTCATTAAAAAACCCTTAATTTGGTACAGTTCAGAGGAAAACTGCTCCCTTGTCTCTGGCTCCATACCCTCTCCCAAGGGTAGAGTGGCTCTTCTGAAAGAATTTTGTTGATGCTTTAAATCAGAGGGCTCAGCAATGGCTTCCAGTCTTAATCTCCTTACTCAGTAACACACTGTCCTCACTAGAAGGTGAGCTCCTGTCATGGTTGTCCCTAAGGAATAATTTCAGCCCATGTTGACAATCAGTAAGACATTCTTAGCTTTTTCACTAACTTGTTTTGCATCTGTAAGCAAATTTCTTTCCCTTTGTTGCACTTTGATACCATGACAGAAGCTGATTTTATTAAATTCTTTGTAGCTCAATAAATTTATCCAAAGAGTTTTTCTTGAGGAACAGGCTGGAGCAGAAGAAATAGACTGGTACAGGAGAAGCTATTCCTTTAGGAAAAAATTCTTCACAGAAAGAGTGGTCAGACACTGGAATAGGCTGCCCAGGGAGGTGGTTAAGTCACTATCCCTGAATATGTTTAAGAGTCGTCTAGATGTGGTGTTGGGGGATATGGTGTAGGGGAGAATTTTGTAGAGTAGGGTTGATGGTTGGACTCGATGACCCCAAGGGTCTTTTCCAACCTGAGTGATTCTAAGTTTCTATGAATAATAAAAAGGTTAAAAAGTGTTGAAGTAGCCACTGGAACTTGGACACCACCAATTCCCGAACACTCAAGAGCTCCAGTTCTATACCCAGAATACAGTGCACTTTAAAGGAAGAAATTATCTAATTCAGCCAGTAGCTTATCCTTCTTTAGAAAGGCTTATGCCTAAACCCGAGACAAATTTGTTTATATGAATAATCATAAAAATGAAAGGTCTTCAGAGTGCCTTTGAAGAAAATTGAATGAAATCCTAAAAATACCTTCTTTTTGTTCCCGATAAGGATTTGTTAACATTGAAAAGTCACTGTTTGTTCTAGTTTGTCTGTCATAGTGTGTTCTAGTTTGTCTTTCATAGTGTACTACATTAATTTTTTGTTCTGAAAATACACACAGCATTTCAACCGTTCCATTCTGATAAGGTAAAAAATTATTTATTTTTTTCAAAGTAAGTTTCATTTAAACTGACATACTCCCCTAGCAAATTTCAGTTTCATATGAGGGACATCTCCCAATACGCAAACGTTCTTTTAAATAAATTCCAAGCAGCATTATTGAGGAATAGTTAATCCCAGATTTTAAGATTCAAGACTTGCTAGTTACTTGCATGTTAGTACATGGGAATATTTTACTGTTTTTCTAAAGACAATAAGCCAATATTGCCTGCTGTTTTCTTTGCACTAGCATTGACTGTTTTCATCCTGCTCTCCTAGTGATCTTCGATACAAAGAACACAATTACAGCACCATAATTTATAGCTAACAAATTCCTTTGGCACCTATCAATTTCAAAAGTAAGAAAAGCCCTATGGAAGGTAAAGCCCTGCACTTCCCATCTGCAGCCCTCTTTACATCACTGCTTACGTGTAGACTTGCCTTGCTTCTTTATAGCACAAAGTGTTGTGGGGTCTTAATGACAGCTCTGACTCACACTCACTGAGGAAAACAACTGAGCCGTGTTTTAGGTATTTTTTGTTTGGTGGTTTGTTGGTTATTTTGTGTCGTGTTTTTTTGTTTTTAAAAGACAAAACCTCCCCCACAAGTCTGCCCTGCTCTTCAGCGGAGGTTACCTCCTCCACAACTGCCAGCAGAAAGGAAACAAATCTACGCTTCTGCTGCTCTGCTCCGGACTCTGGTGTCCTGGCGCTACAGGACTTCACATACAGAGATGAAGCAAACATACTTCCTTCACTCAGCTACATGGCACACTGCTATGGTTAGTTCACACATGAGCACTGATGAAAACTCATCACATTTGTAAATAGATGTAAATCAGTATATTATTACTTTCCCAAGACAAGGGAAGATTAAGCAAAGGATTAATATAAATCATTGCTCTCCCAGTCCTGCTTCAGCCCCAGTTCCTGTCTGAGAACCATCATTTGTCAGAAAATGGATGTGTTACAGATGTTGGTAGAGGGTTAATCTAGTCTTGCATACATGCCATGCAATGCTGATGCACAAAAACATATACAAGAAAAAAGTAACTAGGCTTGTGCAGACCATTGTACAGCTGTACTAGATGCAAAAAGGAACAATCGGCTGTCTCTGCAGGGTGATATTAGCACAGTGAGGCCAGCAAGCCTGTGGCCAGAGACAAATACTAGAGTACAGCCAGGATGTCACTTGAGGACACAAGCTGAGGGCAACTTAGACATGCAGAAAAATTCAGACAGTATTTACTGCAGAATTAAATAACCTGTCCTGAAACTATTTCAGTATCCCTAAATGCTCATTCACTATAACACTTGCTCAGATAAACATGGGGGCTCACTTTGAAATGAAAAAACCATCAGTTCCCTGATGGAAATAACAGGGAAAATGTCTTAGCGTTATTCCTCAAATATTTTTTAAGGACAGTTTGCAGAAGGGAGGGAACTCCCTGAACACCTCGCTCTGCCTAAATATCCTTTCCCCCTTTGCTAAATAAAAGTCTTCTGAAAGCTACAACAGTTCCTGTAACTTTAAACCTGGGCTGAGATCATAATTTCAGTACTGACCAAACAGAGTGCAGAGGGCGGGCCTGCCTGGTCTTTGAGGACCACCGTAGGCATGCTCCCACCCCTTGGCTAAAGAAAATAATGCCGACTCCACGCAGTTTTCTTTAGCTGTACAGTTATCATCTGGGAAAACCTTCCCCCGTTAGACTACAGCAGCTAAAGGAATATTTGGAATACCAAAGGTTTTTGGTTTTTGTTTTTTTTTTTTTTTTTGCAGGGATTTTTTTTTTGTTTCTCAGTTTTCTCCTGTAAATCGGGCAACAAGTTTTTGGAATACCAAAGGTTTTTGTTTTTTTTTTTTTTTTTTTTTTGCAGTGATTTCTTTTTGTGATCTCAGTTCTCTCCTGCCTCTCAAAAAATTAATCAGAACTTGAATCCATCTGGTCTCAGCGTTGGAAAGCTATTCTCTAAGCAGAGCAAAGATGTTTATTAAAGTTCAATTCTTCATCTTCATTCTAGGGAGCGTGCCTTTCATAGCACTTGCTGAAGAAGGTAAGAAGAAACTTTGGTTAAAATTATTTCCAGTCATTTCCTGTAATTTAACAGTTTCTGTGCTAACTCATAGGCAATATGTATAGTTGCTCTGTCTTGTTAATAAAACTTTCGTTTGAATTCTTAACCTACGGCTAGGCATTTACTACGGCTGTAATCAGGAAAGAAACATATCAAAAGTTTTCAGAAAATAATTTTCTGTGTGTGTCCCTGTAAGGGAAGGAGAACGGTACAAGCAGTCAGGGAAGGCGTTACATCTACAGCCCTTGGAAAAGTCTTCAGTTTCGCTGTACTATATGCAAAGGAGACTGCAAGCAGTAATTTAGTTGTAACTGACATTTTGGTGGTGAAACTCTATGAAAGTATCTTATAAATCTTTCCATTCAAGAGTTCAGCTTCGGAGCTTAGAGGCATTAAAACAACTTAGAATTGGAGCCTTATGCAGGGTTTTGGTAACACTAACTTAGCCACAAGCAATATATGCAAGTGAGGGAAACTAAACTAGGAAGAATTATTACCCAAGACAGATTTGAAAAGTGTTATGTATCTACCAAAAAAGTTTATTTGACAAACTATTTCTTTCAATTTTATAAGATAAAGATAACACACACTTTAGCGTAAAATGGATGTTTAAATCTTTTTACAGCTAAAGGAGAAGAGTGTGATTTGTTAACAATAAATCTTGATTCCAGGAACACAACATTCAAATTCAGTCTTTCTATGTAGTATTTGACTCATTATGAATGAATTGGCCACCAGGCAACATGCCTGCTCTATGACGGATGTGCAAACAGAAAGTTTGTATGTCTGTAGTGGTGAATTACAGCTATCGCTGCTATAGAACACGTTCCAAGTATTAGTACTCTGAAAAAAATAACCTGAAACTTAACACTCTGATCTTCCAAAAGATAAATCTACTTGTCTGGCCTGGATCTGGGGACTCTAACTGAAACGTAGGACCTGATTTTGGCTGGGTGACAGTCACTACCTTTCTGCTGGAAATAGTGGAGCTGTGTCGATACACAGTACGCGTGAATGTTGGCTTGAAACTTCTAATAGAAATTCCTAGAGCTGTGTATGTCACAATATGAAGCTGAAAGTTTGGAGTTATGCTTCCAAATTTCACAGAAAACCTAAAATCAACAGATATTAGGCAAGTCTCAAAGACTGCTTTCTAGGCTTTCTCTGGGATAAGCACCTACAGCTCCCCCAGCAAGCTTATCCTTTAAAACCATCGGTATTACAAATACCAAAGTTTGAAGCCATTAGAAATGAGGCAAAATCCACCACAAATTTATAGAATTACCCAAAGCAGTTCTAGAATACTAGAATTACGGGAAAAAAGGTCTTTTATCTTGAGGCTTTTGGGGAATTTTAAAGCATATTTTCTCTCAACTCTGAGGAGGAGACCAGTAACAACCAGGTTGAGACACTATTAGCCAGAAAAATGTTAAATGTTAATAAGGTTCTGCCTGTTTTATTACCAGTGTAGTCTGCATTGAGCTGCATAGTTGGATCTGGAACACGGTTTACAGTATTTAAGGCTTTCTGTATCTGTTTAGGATTTATGACTTTTTCTTCACATGGTATTAGTCATTTAGGATAACTTCCAAAAGATACACCAGGAAAATAGACTCCAGACATAAAATAAGCAAGTCCCAAATATTTAGCATGTATCACTGCTGTTTACTGATAATCGTAAAAGCATAAAATACTATACTGATGTGGAGGAGAATGAGAATTACCCTCTTTATTCACTTCATTCTTTGTATGTTGAGCTTCCAAATACAATAATGGCAGAAATTAGCAAAAATACAAGAAGAAAACTTAGTAACAAATCTTACATCACTGTCTACCTGAAACACACTCTGTGTTATCCATTCGTGGTTTAAATCCTGACTTAAACAGCCAAGTATTTTGTCTTTCTTACAGCCAAGGACAGCCCCAAGCACTACACAAGCTGATGAGTTTTTAGACTAAAGCATTTGCTATTAAAGGATTAGCAGGTACATTTTTGTCCATTGATCCTGTTCACCATATAAAAACTCAAGCAAATCTTCGCACCCGGGATCAGACCAAACGAGCTGAAATGGAAGCTGGCCTAAATTTTTTCTGGGCACAGCATTGATCAAACAATTAAAAGCACAAGCATTCAAATGAGTGTTTTGCAGAGGCAACACGTTTCCTAATTTGAAACCTTTCCCATGGTGCAAGTATCATTGCAGAGGAGGAGAATACTCTATTGGCTGTCACATAACATGAACAAAAATTAACATGATTGTTAAACAAGTTGCCGCGTGTCACTTGAGCTGTATCAACTGTCCATGTGCCTAATCTTACCTAGAGGCAAATACTAGATGATAACTCCTTATGCAAGTCTCAAAACTGAACAGGTTTAGACGAGGTCATGTTACTTTACATTTGTTTTGGCCTAAAAGTAAGCACATTGACAGGGTAATTTAGATGAAAAGTGTTTATATAAGAAAAGAAATTGAAGTTTACAGTCAACTGTGAAAGCCTAAAAAGTTTTTTTATGTTTTTCAAAATAATCAAAAACAGAATTGGCAAAATTGTAAGGGATTTTTTTCAAAAATTACAAGGGATTTTTTCAAAAGTATTTTGATTTACCCAAACTCTGTTGCCAGTTCAGTGGCAAAACTAAACAATGAAGTCAGGCAACTCTAAACTCTTCTGAAAATCAAATCCTGTAATTGCTGGTACTAAACAAAATGAATACCCAAAAGAAACAGTCACATGTGACTCCAAAAGGGAGCCAGTTTTCTACTAAACAAACATGACAAAACCTTTCAACATGCTTCTGGCTGCATCATGAATGAGGGCACTTGCACATGTCCCTATAGATGCCTTTTGTAAAATGCATTAGCATAATAAGAATGTAGCTCTACATGTCCAATATCTGAAACTTAGTTATCAGAAAAAGGAGAAAAATATCTTACTGGATCTCAGTTTGTGGGTCTGCAAATTAGTGAGTGTCTTACTGTCTGCAGTGTCTTAGTAAAAGACCAGCAGAGAACAAATAAAATTTGCTTTCACTTCACTGGGAAAACAGGAGCTTGCCCATATGTACCTTAAAAGTTAGTTTTTGAATCTGTGTAACTTTATAAGGAAAGGAAATAGTAATATTTAAAAGTTCACAAGTATAGCTTGCATTAACTCAGGTCGCACAGTGAAAACTGGAAAGAGAGGCCAGATTCTCAGCTCTTGTAACTCAACAGCTTCCACTGAAGCCACGCATTTACCCAGATCTGCTACTTTTAAGTCATCTGCAAAAATAAGCAGCTGAGAACCTAGATTTAAAAAGTCCTTATTAATAGATAATCAAAAGACAGTGAAGTAAGGATAGCCCACAGCATGCAGGCTGTTGGGCTCTGACAGAAGCATGCAGTGTGTCTTCCTTGTGTCAGTTGAGGCAAGCCATACATACATGCGTACCACAGAAATGACTACTGTTTGCCCAGCTCTAACATATGGTCTGTCTCAGTTGCACGTTTGTTTTGTTGGTTTGTTTGCTTTTTGTCTGGATGCGGTCAGGGACTACAGGATGGAACCTAAAAGCTGCCAGGTCCTACTACTCTCTGCAGCCCAGACCCGTGCTGCAGCCAGGCAGCCTCTAAAATCCCATTTGTGTGAGCACACAACATACCCTCAGTTTGAAATAATGCTGTAAAGCTCACAGAGTTGTGTGCTGCACAACCTGCTACATAGCATTTCAGAAAAATACATAGGTTTGGGAATATAGATATGTTGGCATGTTCTAAAGAGAAACAAATGAGAAAATTAAGACATAAATTTACTATTGCTTTCCAGCTGTCTCGGAAGCCTGGCCAAAGGCTCTCAAAGGAAAAAGTAACTGTGATGGTCTGCATATTCTCATGTTGCTTTATGACTTCCTTGTGTTTTTCCATCTTTGTATTTGTTGATTACAAACACTACAACATCCAGCATAAGTTGCATCAGAGTAACCCTTTGCGAGGGAACAGATCCACAGTGTACACCATTTCAGGCAAACATACTCTCTGGGGCTTGAGCAGTGTATGAAGTGCTGCTAAATCTGTAAAGGGGACACACAATTCCAAATGCATATTAAAATGTTTTTATGACTATGAAACCCATCCAAATATTAGCTAGTATGTTATTAGTATGAAAGTCAGACTAAACATATCTGAATGGATCTTGCTGGCTGTGTGGCAATAGAAAGCAGCTTGCCAAAAATCCTTGTGTGAAAATTAAAGCTTAACCAGTTTCCAGTTATAGTGTTTTGCATGCATATTTCAAACAAATGAGTTAAGAAATGATCATGCAAACGGTTCTGCTGGCAAATACAAGGGATTCGTAACATTAATCAAGGGGCGTATGTGAAAGGGCGTATGGCTACAGCCTCAGAGTTTTGGGAAGGAAGCAATTCAGGGAAAAGATTAGTTTATTACCGTATTAGAGGTCATTTCTTAATTCCTTTCATCTGCATTTACATATCCCAATATTTGTACACGGACTGTCTGCTTTCTGCTGCAGACCCCTTAAAGTCTGCGGATCCATTACATGAAATGTTGTACTTTTCTCCTTGTCTTGGCCCCAGCGCTCACGTCCTGTCAGCCATGGAGTGACACACACAGTGCTGTAACGCTGCGCTTTGAGGTGCCACTCACAGAACGATGCAAAAGAGACTTAGACCTAAATCACAACTCCAGTCTTGTTGTCCCAGTCAAACCCTTATCGCTCAGAGAAAAGAAAGAAATTGCTAGTAAGACTGCAACGAGTTGCCACAGAGTCATGGGGCAGCAGATACAAATAAGTAGTTTTATCCCGCATTTATGGGATAGCAACTCTGAGGTCAGTGTACTTAGCAGACAAGAAATCAGATTGATACAGCGATGTTGTTAAAAGCATAAACCTTAGAAGACTCATCTCTAGTTCTGCAAGGAATATTTTAAAGGAATATCCCATAATGGAGTTAAATAGTCTCTTCCTTCTTAATGCCCACAGCTCTGTGGCCGATTTTATCATGCATAATGAAGAGCTTAGTAAGTTACCAACTTTTCTTCTTGTGGCTTTGTTTCATAACTTTGGTTGTGGGTCATATACATCTAGCAAGCACTTGAAGAGCTGTTATTTTTCTCTATATCTGCCCAGTTAAATATATTTTGCTTTGCTTTGCTGTGGGTAGCCTATATATGGGCAATGTAGACTATGGTGACACTCAGAAGACATGTGATTTGTTTCAGAAGCAGCCGAGTGGTTGTCACATGGCACTGTAGATTTACACTCTGGCGTTGTTCCCTTGGCTAAGCCAGCCAGCAATAGAAACCAGCTGGAGCAGGGTGTGGTGGCCAGAGGAAATGTTTCTGACAATTCAGCAAAACATTGTCATCATGAGCTACATGGAATACCTGAACAAAGTCAGTCATGCTCCAAATAAGGCTGAGTTAAATCCTTCCTTGTGCATCATGATCCTTTTCAACTGGCAGATACTCTCCAAAGTTCATGGTATTTTGCAATCGAGCTACCTCCATTACACAAAGCAACGCCCTCAGTCTTTGTATGAGGAAACTGCATTAAGCTCTTCAGGATTTAGACAGACAGTACATACTTCCTCCTAAACAATAAAGTCTAGACATTGAAACATATGCCAGGGCATTTCTTTATCACGACATGATATATTACTCCAACTTCCAGAAGGAATTAACAGAAAAAGAGCAAATGCCAATGCTGTGGCCCCAGACAGGCTAGGGGTACTGCAGGTCTCAGGAATTTTGCAGGAGCCACAGGTACAAATGCAAATTTTAGTTCTCTTTGAGAAAGTTCCTTGCCTTTCTAAAATCTGAAAATTTTATCTGCCCAAAGGCTCAAAACCCAGAATCCACTATATCATATTATTCAAAATCTTCATAGCCCAGTTTTGTAGCCTGGATTTGGCAGAGTTGAACCATTTCACAAAAAAAAAAAAAGAAAAAAGAGACACCTATATGCTTTTTTAAAATCTGAAAATGTTTAAGCAATTATAGCAAAATAGTGGAAAACTACTTTCAGAGAAAAATAAGCTGATGAGGTAGGGTTTGGACCTGACTGTGGAATACGTTTAAATTGAAGATGAAGCCAAATGACAGACAAAACTGTATTTGAAAACTACAGAGCTGCCACTGAGACCTTAGTTATTTAAAAGGGAAATACCTTATCAAATTATAGATTTTTTTTAAACTTCCATCACCACGAATAAAAGTTTCCACTGAACTACAGCTGAACAAGATTCCAATAGTGAGATACTGACTTTAAGACTCTCTTTGCTCACAAACAAATTAAGGGCTGTGAGTGAAGAATGCTTCCTCTGAAAGGGAATTCCCGTATCAGGCCATAACTGCCGAGTAAAATATGGCCAAAACAGGATGGTGAACGCACATATACATACTGAGTCCTTCAAACAACACCCCTCAGGCTGTAACAGTTCAGGAAGCAGATACTGAAAAGTAGCAGCCAACTCCAGAGTTTGCGCAGTAATATCTCAAACAGACAGTGCTGTCTCCCAAGTGACCCGGCCCACTAAATTCTTTCTCTTGCTTTTCTAGAGAAGCGTTCCACAAAGCACCTATCTAGCACAGCTGGATAGGATTAAATACAATATCAATAAGATAGTGATAAAAATAAACTTGATTTTTAAGATCAAAGCTTTTGTTTGACGGTTAAGCTGCTAGTTATTTTTTTTTGGTGTTACCAAAAAAAAAAAGGAGCTTCAGTTATTTAAGTAGCAAAGGGGCAACGAGCAATAAAGATTATTTCAGTTCTTGCTAGAGGGAATCCTTTAGGGTTAGCCATTTTTACCTGCTGGTAAAATCACAGAGATAGAAACTCATTCTATTTTGAGGGCTTCTTATTTCATTCTAAGCTAAAATACAGGCCTACAACTGCCTTTGCCCACCAGTGTCTGGGTTTATTCAGACTGCTGGGCAAGAAACAAGATCCTACAACATTTTTCATCTTCAAAAGTATCTTTGTTGGTTTTGGAGATACCTGAAAGAAATGGTAATGAACAACAGTTTTACAACTCCCTCTCCTTTCCAACACAACCACTGTGCTTTGAAAGCCACCCTAAGAGGTTTTTCTAGTAAACTGTCACTCCCTGCATAACAATGAGTAGTGAGCTCATCTTCCCCTAAGTAGGTCATGGGACGCTTAGCCATGGGATGTTTTCAAAGCAGTATTAAACTTTTAAAGACATCAAATTTTCTCCTGGTGTGAGAAGTTGCAGCCTGATAGCAGCTGGGGACTTTGAACTGAAACGCACCCAGCTGGAACTCTGGCAGAAAGAGATGCAATGATTAATTCACATCCGCAGCAACGTATAGCTGCAAACAGAAGAGGCCATAGAGCCAGTAGGAGACAAGCAGAGCACTGTGAGGCACTGTTTTTATTTACAGCCTCCTCTGAGATAATATTAAGAACATATGCAGAAACACTACTAACCCTATGGCTCTTGCTACATTTGGCCCACATCAGACGAAACCAACAAATGACTAAAGCACATACACCCTTACATCCCATTTACATCTCTTTGAAGGCAGTGGTATATGTGCCTTGTGCTGGGTACAGGGAAAGAAAATTCAAGTCCAGTAGTTTCTCTCAGTTTCATGTAAATATTTTTTACTTTATTATGACTTTTTCTGACAAAGAGCTATCCAGTATCAAATATTCATTCCTACAAATGCAATACACTGATAACAAATTACCTCTAGTTTTTCTTTGGGTAATAGTTCAGAAGGATCCATTCAGCTACCACCCAGACACCCCCCTGGTGTCAGTCCAGAAAAAGAAACCTGGGAACAAGGACCAGGGACTAATCTCCAGCAAATGCAGCACTTCAGTTTGAATGCAGTATTATGCAGTTTGGATAATCTTGAAGGTCTTGTCCCAAAGACAAGACCTTCATATTGACAGGAATCAGTTTCGTCTGTGAGCTTTAGGAAGTCAATAGGGGAGCCAAATTATTCTAGCTTATTACAGTTAGGGAAAAGCAGCACTACCAAGAATGACCCAAATCCCAGGTGAGCTGAACTACCTTCTGGAAGTATTTATCTTTCCCAACAGACTATAAAAGATATGGGCAGGCAGACACTTTATTTAGGCACCTTTATTAAGAACCTAAAATTAGGCAAGATTTATCTGGGCCACCTCCTTTTGTCAATCACCATACACTGAGGGCAAATGCACTGAAATAGATTTTCTCCATGTCACTTGTTGCCAAGAATCTGCAATAACTTTATCACACAAAGAGTAATTATTTCATGTTTCTTTGTGACATTCACTAATTCTCTGCGCCTTTGTTCTGTGACACTGTTTCCTTTCCTGCCTTTGCTATCAGTTAATTCTTGAGGGCTGAAAGCTACCAGCATGCCAAGAGTATAAGCAGCTTCTCTGAATAAGCTGCTTGTTGTAAATATACAAAACTTATTTCACTTTCTACTTGGGGTTTTTCCTCTAGTAATTGGTTTTCTCCATCTGTGCTTATTTTGCAACTGGTGAATAAAGAATGTTTTTTCAGATCCGACTGGGATTACAAGGTAAACTGATCTATACGTAATTAACGTTGTTGAGCTCTGTTGCTATTTCTTTCTTTACACTTAGTCTTTACATAGAATAATCCCCATATTGTACTTTAAAGACATTACTTTATAAGCAAAAGCTAAGAATTATAAACTAGTGCCATATCTTAAAATTCCCTGATATTTAGAAGGTGGCTAAATCAACACACCTATAAGTCAAGCCCCCTTTATGCCACCTCGAGACAATTTTCAAGGCTGCTCACCTGAGGCATTTCACTCAAAAATGCCCAAAGCATTACTTTTACCATCTAACTTAGAAATATGATTTATGATTTAAAGTGATTTATCAAATAACATAAGCTAATGCTTAACTTGAAATCTGGAGTAGTCACATATACCTGAGAGAGAAGAGGGCAATCTTTTCTTAAAAAAACAAAGAGAATCTTTTCTTGGACAAAGTTCTGACTAACCACTGTTTCAAGGCTGTGCCACAGTCAAATGGTGTGTACTTAAGCTTTTTGTCCTACAGCTTTGTACAAGAGCATAGCAGAATTCGAAGTTAAGCCAAATAATTTTGTACAGGGGCAGGGAGGTAGAACACTACACAGATCCCGTGTTTAGCAAAATTTACATGTCAAAGTAGAGAAAACATGTGACTACGAGTAAAATCCTAACTCATTCTCTAAAATTTTATTCAGCGAGCTCAGTTCTAGAAGGAGAAGAAAGTGCAACAATTGATTTCAGAGACAGAAATGACACAGAATTCGAAGAATTACCAACCCTGGTGAGTATCATTCTAAACAGAGTTCATATTCCTGGTATTGGCTGATAGCTTAGATTTTGAATAATCATTATAAATTATAAAGAATAACCTTGAGTTCTAACATTAAAAAAAATAATTTAATGCTTTAATGCTTTAATGCTTTTGCTTTGCAAGCAATCAGGCTGGAGGTGACAAAACTGAAAACAATTTTGGCAGTTGTGGGCGTGAAAAGCATTAACCTGCATTTTGAGGTTATATGACCTAGAAAGTGTCTAGCTGAGAAGACAAATCACCTTACGTTGTGGTTTTTTTTTATTTGGTCACTGTACATAAGTCAAAATCAGAGGTGATAGCTAAGAAAGCATCCACAGGGCACCTGACAAATTTAAATGCTTATTTCATATAGGCAGAGTGCATGTACTGAGGCTTTCTTTTCCCTCTTTTTTTCCCCCCCAACTCTTGTAGTTGCCCACAAGACTACACAGTGTAACAAATCTCTTGCAGTTTGGACAACTGATGACCACAGAAAGTGCATTTGCTCCAACTGAAGACAGTGAAAATTCTACTGGTTACGAAGCTAACACAGAAAATATTGATGGTAAAAAAATCTTTCATTTCTATTTCATTACCCTAGAATGGTTCGGGTTGCAAGGGACCTTAAAGACCACCCAGTGCCACCCCCTGCCCTGGGCAGGGACACCTCCCACCAGCCCAGGTTGCTCCAAGCCCCCTCCAACCTGGCCTTGAACCCCTCCAGGGATGGGGCAGCCACAGCTTCTCTGGGCAACCTGTTCCTACTGCCATCTACTAAACAATATGATAAAGTGGATTCTGACCTGTTTACCTTCTGCCCGCTTAGCTGTCCTCCAAAGAGCTTGCTGAGTACCTATGCTTTTTTTCTGATTGTATACAGAAGAATGTAGGGGCACAAACAAATGGGTATATGCTCTATAAGCTTTTGGACTAGGATTGTTCTTAGTGGTTCACCCTTACGCATATCAGTAAAGAGTAAGAGCTCTCAAATCATGATAGAGTTGATAGAAGTTTTCCTTGGATATAGCATTATAAATTGGGATGCAAAACTCTGTACAAAGCAGAACACATAATTAAGTAATTATTCTCTTTCTCGCTTTACAGGTGGACTGAGTGGGGAACCAGAGAAAACTGAAAAAGGTATTAAACGAAAGAATTGTTTATAAAGACAAGGGAGAACTTAACTGCCAGGCAATACCCTTCTAGAAGCCCCTAGCTATGCCTATGCTATTCTTAAATAAAAGTTTCAGGAGGAGCTATGACCTGCTCCCTGATTTGCTTCCTCTAGTTCATCTGATGACCATCTCCACAGGCACATCTACACAGAGCCCTCCAGCCCAAAGACACTTTTGCGGGCCAGAAATAAGCCTGATAAATTTACCAAAACTGCTCCAGAGTTCACAAAATAAGAGAGTTTTCCCCAAGGAGTGGGATGCAGCAGAACAGCATCAGTTCTATCAGTAGCCTCTTATCAATGGTCTCTGTGAGAAACATGCCGACATTACCAATTTCCTCTTTCAGGTGGTCTGGAAACAATTGCACTGGTTGGAATAATTATTGGAATCATAGTTGCAGTTGGAATCCTTGCAGGAATAATCATCGCTGTTGTAAGGAAGATGTCAGGCAGGTACTCGTAAGTAAATTGCTAATCAAGCTTTTCAAACAAGCGTCATCCTCTAAGCAAGGTCACAGGAGTTGCTTTGGAAATTTCTATTGCTTCTATTTTGACAAAATAACATATTTGCATATTATTCAGTGCCTATTGGTTCAGCAAGAGCTGCCAGTGTGACGTGGGTGATCTAAATCCCTTCACGTGCTTCAGGAAAATTTTCCAGATACTGCATGCATGCTGTTATAATATCCATCAGGTGCATGAGGTTTGGATTACTCTGCTGCACAGAGGTAAAATTCACTACAAAGTATTACAGGACCAGCTTCTGGAAGTGCTGGCTGACATGTGAACACTGACAAGAGACCCTTATCTTATTACTCTGGACATTTGTGGCAGCTGTTTTGGTTCATTGGTTCCATGCAAATCTGAAGTGCTCGACAAACTCCAAGGTAGTTAGAAAACCGCACTACATTTAACAAATACTATTCACCCAGCATTGGAAGAAAGCAAAATATGAACTGGGAAGAGAAATAAAGTGGTGACAGAAAAGACAAGGAAAGGGAGGGAAAAAAGATCATGTAACTAATATTTGGGTAACTCTGAACAACAATAAAATGTCTATGTTTTCTGTTTTACAGGCCCTGAAAATAGGTGAAACAAGCAACCATGCCATTCTATGCCGGAAAATACAAGTGCTTCTTATTTTATAAGAACTAAAGACTATTCCTGTATTGATGTGAGAGATGATCCATGGAAAACGTGGTTGAAGAATTTCAGATCTATGGGGATCCCACACAGCTCTAAGGACTCTTCCCGCCCTCGCCCCTCTGTGCCCCAGACTACAGAGTATGGAACATTTCATAGGATTTTTACTAACCAGGACCTTACTGGAAGAAAGAAAAAAAGATTATGCAGTAAGGAAAAAAAAAAAAAAAGCAGCAATGAGATTTAAATCTGAAACCTGATTTGCAGGTAAAACATGCTAGCTTTATTTTTAAACATTACCAAAGATTAATTCGCATTACGTTTTTTCATTTCTTTAAAAAACATATCCAGAATCTTCTAAGTCTTTTTGGCTGGTTGATGCTTGTGGCATGTTTATCTACCAAGTGATGTATCAAAAAGGAAGTATTTGTTACAGAGAGAACCAATTATTTACAAATGTAGAAAATACTAACTATTGGAAGCTAAAATCTTTCCACTATTGATATAGATTTTCTGCTCTTGATGCTTATGTTATTATGTGGCAAAATATGGTAGGCTCAGCTGGAACTGCCCTACCAACGGAAAGCTTGCTCATCTGACTGCTGCACCAGGAATTTCCTGTCTTCCCTTGTTGCAGAGACATGCAGGGATTGAAATACACATCCTGAATTAAAGGGTGCTTGGAAAATACCCAGTTTTGATGGGTCACTTTAGCCAGTTACTCAGCACGCTTCAGAGCTGACATGTAGAAGCTTCTGAATTAGTGTAGACAATTTTTTTTCTTTATAATTGTCTAATTTTCTTGTTGAATAACGTGTGCAACACTAGATAGGAATATGACAATGAGATATAATGTATTTTTGAACTCTTCAACTTTTCTATGGCATATTTAGGGCAGCAGTACCTGAATTCAGAGAGTTCAGAGCAAAGGCTTTGTCCAAGTGGCTGCAATGCATCATGTCTGCTGTAAAAATCATGATAATCCATATGGTCAATAATTGTTAATCATGTCAACTTCTCTAGATTTGCTTTTCTGTTTCTTTCATGTGCCATGAACTATCATATCAATCCAAGCTTTGGAAATAAAAATTATAATGTAGATGGTCTTATTTCACAATAATTGTTCTTTATTTTCTTTAAAGAAAACCTTATAAAATGTTTTAAACTTCCCTCAAATTTCCTAAATTATTTTGCTACTTGTCTTGTCACTGCAGTGTCTGTAACCAACTCATTTGACACAGATAAATGAAACTATCATCAAAACTAAACGTGAGAAAAAGATTTAGAAGTCTTTTTATAGTGCAATTCTTAAGCTCAGGTAGTGGAACATTCGGTCTGTGGTGACCGATGAGAGTAAGTTTTATCTTTGTTCTGGTCTGTGCTGAGAACTGCAAACCAGGTCCAAAGGCTGTGATTTCCAGCTACGGGTGCTTTTTTTTGGTCTCATCTATAAAGAGAAACTAGTCTTCTGAAGTCTGAATTTAGACTTCTTGTCAATCTCAGAATTAAAGCATATTTGGATACAAGTTCTTTGTTTGCAGCTTGCTTTCAGTAACTATAGTTGTCTCCAAATTGCTAAGCTAATACTCCTGGTAATGCCTTACCTGGAACAGTCATTCTCTTCCTTACCAAGGGAAGATTCTAAATTAAAGTTTTCCTACAGGAAAGACTTTCCCCTTGAAAAACTATTCCCATCACATAACAAGCAGTATCCACAGGTAGGCAATTTATAATGAAATTGAAATATACCTTAACTCATATACTTTGTTTTGAGAGTCTGGTCTGACAATCAAAGTTGTTACATGTAGAGGGAAAATACTGAGTGTGGGTACACAAGGATGCAACTAACGGTAAGGAATTTGCTATGTGTTTGGATTTAAGTACTGGTCCCATGCAGTGAAAATTCAGATACCAAAGCATACAAATTCCTGAATTTGGCAACAGTAGTACAATACCATGGAATAATACATTCATGTGTTGCCTCCAGCACCATCTCATTTAGTTTATTTATGCTTACACTCAAAAGCTGCACAAAACTCAAGTAAGGCAAAAATGATACTACTGTGCAAAGTCATGTATGCACTATATGAAAATCCATAACAAGTTTAAGTCTAGTGTATATCTTAAGTCAGTTCTTTAATAATGCTAACTTGGTACTGGGTATTTTTTGATGTACAAAATCCAAGGCCCAAAAGTGGGCTTGAAGCAGGCTGCAAAGTTTTCACTACCTCTATTGAAGCCATAGGACCTCAGTTTAACTTATTTTTTTCAAAGGCATCTTTATTTAAGTGTCAGTTAATTTTTTACCTATGACTCATTAAATTCTGCAGCATTACTCATGTAACAAAGTCATGGGGTTTACCCAATCAACTCTGAAATTTCTGCTATATTTAATCAGTTATCTTTCAGGAAAGGAAGACTGCAGTCTCTTATGGATAAGCATGTGAGGTCCTGTCCCTGAAACACAATTCACACACACCTTAATACACTTCCAAATCCTATGACTCAGTTCAGGTGAAGACATTCATTTTGGCTAGAAGTTTACCTTTTCACACTAGATTCCTTTGCCCCTGTATTTCTTGGTTACAGTACTTAAAATTCAGGTATTTTGTTTCCAAGTGTTCATAAATCCCACTGGTTTTTGAAAGAGAATTACGATTGTTTCCTTCTTCTTTGTTCTATTTGCTTGTGTGACTTGTAAGAATTAGCTAAAACCGCATGTAAACTCCTATGAAAGCAGGAAGATTACAACTTTTTCTAACTGTGGCAACATAAAAGAATAGTAACACTCTATAACAATTTCTTGTCTGTACTGGAAACTACCCTGTAAGATGCACTTGATGTCTGACCAAATGCATACCATATGGAATTATGAATTATTCAGCCATTGTAGGGAATAGCACAGATGTCACCAGTTTCTTCTGCACCAGCTCAGTTGCTGCTAACTAGCAAATACCATAAATTGAGAAAACCGTTCTTGTACCTGTTCTGAATACCGGTTAAGCCAGAAGTAACAAGACCCTATTTGAAAAACACGTAGCATTAGAGTAGACAACCTTTTGGGGAAGTTCTGAGTTTTCCTGGATCATGTACGGAACATCAGTTGCACAGCCTGCATTCTACTCAAGTAAACTGCACTTTGCTTCCACTACAGAATCTCTCACTGAGAGTCATTTGAACTTCATATACCAACTAAGTTTTCTGGTCTTAACTGTGCCTTTATATTCTGCCCTCTAGTTTAAGGAAAGTTTTATTAATCTTTGGTGAAATAAACTCCTAACCAAATGGCCCATGCTCCACTGAAACATTATTTGCAGGGCTTTCATCACTGTAGACTCAGTATTAAATATTGTGCTGTACAAAATCTGAACCTGAAAAAATGTCAAGACATGAATGTCCTTCTGATTTTCAGCTGGAGCACAGGATACAGCTAAAGAAAGCAAGGGCTCCAAAGAATCAGACCTCCATGGTTCTGACAGTATGAAAAAACAACTGCTGCTACATTGATACATTTATTATCCTGATGATTCATACCACCAGGCTGCCTAGAAATCTCAAGTGCAGAACATTCCATTCAGCTTCAAGCAAACCTCAAGAAACAATGGCTTCTTCATTAAAAGCTTTGCCACATTTGTTATGTGTTTCTGTTCTACCAAAGAATTCTGAATTTAATTCCCTTTTGTAACTTCACAATACAAACATTCTAGAAGTATAGATGAAAAATCTGTCCATGTCTATATTCCATTTACAAACGGCTGCGGTATTCATAGAGAGCTTTCACTGACTTGTATTATCTAACTTTCCATTACTAGTTCAAGACTTCAAAGGTAGTTTGAATACTAGCTACATGTTTTTTGGTAGAATTTACGTGGAAGATGGGATCTTTTCTGCTTCGCAAGAAGTCAAACAGCACATTGTCCTAGGGCAAATAGTTCTGTAAGCTGAAATGAATGACCAGTATACACGCTTACAGAATCAAGGCCAAGGTCAGGAGACTTCCTATGAATGAGAACACATCAGGAAACAACAGCTTCATCCTTTCACCAGCTGGCCAGGTTTGGGTTTTATTCACAGGGAACAACATTCAATATATCAACACTTGCTTTTAAGTTAAAGTCCTTACTCCTGATCACATTCATTCCTTTATAGTTAGTAATGTTCGCTTTTGCAGCTTGGCTTTGAGTCATGAATGTGGCTCTCCCTGACAGACAAGCAGGCACCAGGCTTCCTGTGAGAATGCCAGATGTCACTAAAAAATATCATAAACATAGTTGTCCCCTTGTATTTGTGTCTGTGAGGAAGATATACAACAGTAGCATACTATGAAAGCAATGACTTGGTGCATCAATATTTATAAGACTTCTATGCACAAGTACAGCAATTCTTACGAGAATTCATCCAGGGCATGTTTTTACTATGAGAACAGAAAATTTGAGAAGAATTAATTCAATAAAACTAGCGATAACTAAGCATGAACCAGAAGAATTATGAAGATCTCAAGTTACTCCTATAAATTTAAAAAGTGTTTATTTAAAGTCAAATAAAAGTAAAACATGCAGCAATTGCTTTTAAATGTAATTATTCACTATCTTAAGAGCACCTGCAGTACACTATTGCATGTATCTTAGCCACATATAATTTCATTAAAAATTAAGTACAACCTGCACACTAACACTTTTTGAAAGTTCTTAAACTCAAAAGTGCTGATATATCATTCACATGAGGATGGCAAGTGCTACCTCCAGTTCAGGACAGTACGATACACAGGTTAAGTGACTTGCCAAGGGTTAGAACCGCAGGTAAGGGAAAAGCCACAAAAAAACCCCAGTAATCTTTAAACGTTGGTCCTGTCACAGCTTCAGATAAGTTCAAATGAAGTGATGTTCCATTACGTTTTATGAGAATATGATTCTTACTATTCTTTAATACAAGGTGGCAAGAAAGGATACAGAGGAGAAAAAGCAGCTTACTGAACCCACCAAGAACTCTCAGGTCAGACGCATGCTCTGATTGTTTTTGATGAAAAACCATTCAATCTAAAAAGAATTTCTCCTCCACCCTCTGAAGTTCTGCGGCGTAGATGCTATTGAACCCCTGCAATTTAAACTTAGGTCATAACTTGCCTACATCATGCCGGAAGACATTGTTATACCTATTTATACTCAGCTACTTAACTAGATGAAGTATCAGATTAGCCATACCCATCCTCTTCCAGACAGCTTTTTTAAGCTAAAGTATTAATCATACTGAAGTTCTTGGCATCTAGGCTTTGTTAGACAACTAATGGATACTAGAAGGTAATAGTGGATATGTAACTTGATGCTAGGTGCCATAATGAGAAGTCTGAATTAGTGCTTTGTACATATTTTACAGCTGCAGCACAGAGGCATTTATGTATAAATAAACTCAGCACCACACTAGCCATGTGTCTTTGTCCAGGCCTTGTGGACTTAGGCATTAGCCCAAACCCACAGCTCCCCCTGCTCTGCAACAAGCAGTTGCACTGCAACAAAGATCCCCATTCAATTACATAGCTTGTTAGGCTCTTCCAGGCTGGAGAACTCAGATTTTCAGACTCTGGTAAATGCTAAATTGGCAAGGGTCTTAGCAGGCAAGGAGTGCTGCACATTCCATGCATTTTCAAGGTTGTGGTCTGTTTCCAGAAAACAGTTGGCAAGGATGATTGATTTTGAGAGCTGAAAACCAAAACCAAACCATGCCATCCACAGAAAAAAAATCACTAGAAAATGGAAAGAGTAAGGACAGAACTGCAAAACGTTGTCGTGGCTAAAATTTAATTTCATTCACATTTCCAGATTGAGCTAAAATGAAACAATGGACTTGCCCATCGATGGGGGCCATTTCGGATGTTAAGCCCCATCAGTATTCAGATAAACATGCATTAGGGGAAAACATTCTTAAAAATGTTTTGTTCTTACACATCAGAAGTTTGTCTCAAAAAAATAATTTTCCAGGGTCAGGAATACAGGTGCTCCAGGGCATCCATCTGATCTTTTCCTGGTCTACATTTCAGATTATCATAAAATCAAATCATAGTTTTAAAAGTGTTCTCTGAGATCTCACAGCACAAATACAAGGATAAGGAACCACTCAATT